CTATAGACAAGCTAGCATTTAACTTATTGTATCAATATATAAAAGATGTTATTTTTTTTTATAAGTATTAAATATAAAACTTTATTAAATATTATATTTACATATATATTTATATTAATAATTTTATTACATAATAATCTAATTATAAACTATTTTATCAACTGAATATTTTAACTTATATCTAGTATATAGATTCATATACTGGTAAAAATTAAGAATATAGAAATTTTGTTATTGGTTTTAAAGTTTAATTTAAATAAAAAAAATAAATTATTTAATATAATATTTAATATTATAATTTAATATATTTAATTTTTATAAAAAATTCTTTAATATGTTAATTCAATAAGTATTAAAGTTATAATATTAAAGATAAAAGTAATAATTATTTAATTTGATATTATGATAATTATTATCAAGTTATAAAATAAAAAGATATTCAATTTTCAAATAAAATAATTTGATAATTATTTTTTATAATATTTAAATTATTGTATATAGATAATAAGTCTGATTATAAGTATTTTTAAACATTTTTAAATTATGAAAAAATAATAAAAATCAAATAATTAATTTAAATACAGTTGTTATAAACTGATAAAATAATATTCAAGATTTTATTTTCAAAATATAAAAATTACTATAATTTTGGAAAATTGAAATCAAACAGAATTGTATAGAATTATATAAGGTTTGAAATACTATTAAAAATAATAATAGTGTATATTTCACTTATTAAATTTAATATAAACTTGAGAATTAAATATAGAATTAAAGAAAATTATTAGGATTCTTAGATATTATCTTCAAGTTTTTCTTTTTTTTTTTACTTTACTTTATATATATTTTTCAAAATAAAATTCAAATAAAATATAAACTGAGTTTTAATTAGAATAGGCAGTCTTAACACATTAGTCAAGTATATGTTTATACTTGATAATAAGTCATATAATAAGAATAACCTTAAACAAGTTTAAAAAATAAACAGAATTTTAAATTTGTACATACTTAATACAATATTCAATAAACAATATGTAAACCACCTGGTAAAAAAAACCCATTGAACTTTTAAATAAATTCTTATATACATTTTTGTATATTTAAAATATTATTTAAATCATTTAGATCTTTATTTCAAGTAAATTTAAATTATAATTTAAAATTTTTTAAATAAAAAAAATAATTAGGAAAAAATTACAAAAGTACTGAATTTATAAAAAAACATATTAATACTTCTTTGTAAGCATAACAGTAATAAAAAATTTAAGAATCAAGGAAACAGACATTATATTAATTACTTACATGACTTGCTATATCGTATTTCTGGCATTTCTAATATGAAATATGGTAAACGATCTATATTCTCGCCACCATGTATAATCTTAATATAATAACAAGTTATATGATTTCCGAACTTTCTGTGGATGTCTCATCACCATTGGAATCTTCGGCGCTGTTTTGAGGTATAATTAAAAGATTTTTCGCCACTAATCCATAACGATCGGAAAGCTTCATAAAACGACCATAGAGAAAAGTTTCGTTCTGCAAGTGAATAACTAATTTATTAAATGTGCCAACTGTGTTAGAAAATCAATTTTTAATTCTTACTTCAAACGATTCGAAGACTTCTCTGTGATGGAACCAAGCATGAGCAAATATCCTATAAAGCCTTCTCGCTATGGATTGATAATGCTTCACAGAATTATTTGATATTGATATCCTTAATAAATTATGAGAACATCAGAATGTTGATCGATTGATTAATGTCTCATCTGGAAAGAAGCATACCTGCTTGGAAAATGCTTGTGGCTATTCAGCATAGTTGTTGCCCCATCCAGAGTGTGAACTATATAATCTATTGCACAGCACTTAATTTTTAGAATTATAATCACATGAATGGTTATTCGATAGTAATGAAGAACCAATTAATTAAAAAGATCACACACGTTCATTGGAGTCGGATGTGCTGCGCATAAATACATCCATTCATCGGCTTTCATATCGGGGCATGATTGTCGATTACATTCTGATTCAAGCTGTACGACTAAGTAATTGAGTTCTAGGCATAATTGCCTATATGAAATAAACATTAAGTAAAGCTATAAATCTAGAATATATCTAATTCTGAATAAGCTAAATAGTCAACATAAATACATCAACAGACCTTAAATGCTCATATTGCCAAGCCTCCGGGTCTTGGTCTGGAGGTAATTCAACCAACAAGTCTAAGTTTTCCTTATCTTTTCTTATCAGCGATTGTAAATATTCTTGCAAAGCGAAAGCCGAGTTAATTTCCTCCAGAGAAACATGTTCAAACTGATAAGCATCCTATTCATGTATCGAAGATAACTATTAAAAAAAAAAAACCTTATATTGCATATAAATCATGCAAACAGGTTTACAAGATACCTCAAGCTTTGTCCCTGGACGATTTCTTTTTAATGTATTTTTGTTTGAATTTTCGCCAGTTGTTTCGGTCATTCTCGTGGACACATCCGCAAACCTGCTTATTATAGGTTTTTGATTGGCTATATCTAGTGAATTAACCGGTAAAACCGTTTTAGTTAGGATTATCCCTTAGATGCGTCATAAATTCAACCAAGCCCTTTTTATCGAGTTCCATGTCGTGGCATTGGTGTGACGTAAATACAGAAAACTTGAACCCCGCAACAATAATTGCCTATGTATTAAAAATAAGATTATTTTAGAACAAATTTTTGTGCAATTTTCAACTGCCATTTTTCAAAGATATGATAAATAACAAAAGCACACAGAAGGGGAAGGAGCAGAATTTGTTCAATCATGATAGCACCACTATCTACAATCATAATTCATAACTCGCAATTGGACGACATGCGTAATGTTAGATTAGGCTTATTATAGATCGAAGAATGTATAAATCGGGTTGGTCTTGATTCTGTCAATTTCTTTTCTCCATCCTCCATCTGATAGTCGTAAAATTACACGATGTCTAGAAACTTAAAATTGGTGATAACAAGTTCTCGCATTCTCGCTTCCGGGTCAACTGATCCGTCACCTGGTACAATTGAAATCGATAATAACGGTAGCATAATTTCTATTCTACCGAATAAAACTTCATACGAATCGTACGGTTTTCTCGAGAGGACTCAATTTTACGACGTTGGTGATGATGTTGTTATGCCAGGTGTAATCGACGCTCATGTACACTTGAATGAACCGGGTAGAACCGATTGGGAGGGTTTTGAGACCGGAACGAAAGCGGCTGCTGCGGGTAATAATATCTTCAATATCTTTTAAAGGAGAGGAAAAATTCTTTACGTTTATGGTTGACATTTTTAATAGGAGGAGTAACTACAGTTATTGATATGCCCTTAAATTCTATTCCTCCAACTACCACCGTTAACAACTTGAAGCAGAAAATTGTATCGTCAAAGGGAAAATGTTGGGTTGATGTAGGATTTTATGGCGGTGTAATACCAGGGAACAAAGTTAGTGTTAATATTGATATTAACATAATAGGTTGTTGTGAGGCTTATAAGATTGTTGTTTCTATTTTTTTGTCTTTTTTTTCTAATTGCTATCATAGGATGACCTGATACCGCTAATTGAAGCGGGCGTTAAGGGATTCAAATGTTTTTTGATAGAAAGTGGAGTTGAAGAATTTCCTTGTGTAAATGAGCAGCAAGTGAGAGATGCCTATGAACGACTACAGGTCTGTTTCTTATTGTAAAACTTTGATTTTTTTTCCCACCCCACTCTCATATTTTATTACAATAAAATTTGAATCCAGGGTCAAAAAATATTCTTTATGTTTCATGCTGAGATGGAGCTTGAGGATCAAAAATCTTGCGAGATCTTGGACGATCAGACTTATCCGTCTTACATTTATAAAAAATTTCTTGATTCTCGTCCGAAATCCCTCGAATATAACGCGATTTCACTTGTTATCAAAGTTGCTAGAGAATTTCCTACGGTGCGGACTCACATAGTTCATTTATCGGCCGCGAATGCCATCAATATTATTCGCAAGGCCAAATCAGATGGAATTCCTCTGACCGTCGAGACATGTTTTCATTATTTGTGCTTAAATTCTGAAGAAGTTCCATTGGGAAGAACCGATTTTAAATGCTGTCCTCCTATCAGAGAAGAAAGTAATAGGGAAGAATTATGGAAAGTAAATACCACAGTGAAAATTGTAAACATGATGAAACGTGCAATAGATAATGTATTAATTCTTTCTTTTTATTTACATTATAACGTTCCTTAAAGGCCTTGCTTGATGGGACAATAGATTACGTGGTGTCTGATCACTCGCCATGCACAGCAGATCTTAAACAGTTTGATAAAGAGGCCAAGGATAGAGACTTTTTGAAGGCGTGGGGAGGAGTATCCACTCTACAATTCGGATTGCCTGTGTTATGGACGGAGGCTAGAAAACGCGGTTGTAGGTACGGATTATTCTCTGGCGCTTTCTTTCTTTGTTTTACCATATATCGATCTCTTATATTTGCATTTCTATTAAGTTATCATCATTTGACAACTTGGTTGTCCAAAAACACCTCTAAACAAGTCGGACTAGACAGCAAAAAAGGTGAAATCAAGATCGGTTATGATGCAGATATTGTAATTTGGTCGCCCGAGGAAAAATTTAAAGTAAGCAGTCTCCTCGTTGGAATTTACAACTTTATGAATACAGTAATGAAAATATATTTGAAATCTATAGATATCGGCGGATATCATTCAATTCAAAAATAAAATCACCCCCTACGCAGGAAAAGATTTTTATGGTGTTGTAAAGAAAACCATTATTAGAGGAAATATCGTTTATGACATTGATAATGGTGGTGTTATAGGCACACCCATAGGTGAACTCTTAATTTAGTAAACGGTAGCACCACAGGACATAAATGCTGTGACTTTATCAATTCACAAGACGTGTTAGCTCGTTTATGCGTCTCCCATTTTTTTATTGTTTTTAGGCTAAATGTAAATAATGGAAAATGTACAATTAAAATAATACAAAAGTGGTGAATTTTTTTATGAATGAAAAATGCAAGTTTTTTTTTCTCTTTTTTTTTTTTTTAAAAAAAAAAATGCTTAAATTACAAAAATAAATCTACAATCTATTTTTTCAGTGTAAAGTTAAGGTGTTGAATTGTATAACGGATATCATGAAAACTACACATGCACCACAAATCCTTTATTGATCATCTCATCATGATTTTTTTCATCAATATTTTTTTCATCAATTTCACCTTCTATCAATCCCTCCAACTGTTCCTCATCCTTTTCAACTTCTTGATAAAAATCTACTTCGCTGGGCATAACCATTTTTCTAATGATTACTATTAAGTAACTTGGTAGTAGCGCGATTGAAACTATTAACAAAACCAAGATCCAAAACTTCGGCTTAGTCGCCATGTTTCGAAATGTTCCGTTAACCGAATAAACTGGTTGGTTGATCGGGTACACATAAGAATACACGGTCTGAAACAAAAACCACGTCAACAATGTCAGAATTGACGTCAGATGCGTCATGATTGTCCAGTTGTGACATTCCAGATACGCAATTTTAACTGTTACCACGAGCACCACACATGTATATGAGTACAATCCAAGTTCAAATAACTGCAATGATTCCGCTTGCAGATTACCCATAAAATGTTCCTGTAACAGTGCCGGCGTTAAAACTATTACTAAGGCATGATATAGCCCTCCCAGCATCCACGACAAGAATACTTGCATATTGAATTCCATATTTTTTTGTCCTCTCTGATATAATTCTGGTATGCCCAACAACGTTTTTTCATTCAGATCTTTCTCAAACATTCCAACAACCATTACTGGTAATGACGAAAATAATGTATTATAAAATGCAAGGGTCCATTGTTCGTATAAACTTGATCCCGAAAATCCGGTGAAAATCTGATATGCTCCTTGGGTTAGGTAGAAACATATGCATTTGTAAAACGTTCCCAACACAAATTTTGACAATCGAACATATGACCACCGACCGTGGACAAAGAGCAGATTTTCCAAGAATTTAAATTGTGCTATTGAGTAGTCACTTGTTCTTGCTGCCTGTAATCCCTCACGGCCCGCGATCCCTATTCCGACATGTGCCTCCTGAATCATTGCGATATCGTTTGCCCCGTCGCCAATTGCCAAGGTGACCGCTCCATCCTTTAATTTCTTTCGCACACTCTGTACCACCAGTGCCTTTTGACTAGGGTTCACACGACAGCATATCACCGTTTCGCACAGAACACTGAGTTCCATGAAAGTATCAAGTAAACTGGATTCCTTCTCAATTGACATTAAAGTTTCTCCATCGATGATTACCGCCACGTGTTCCACCTTGCCTTCACTAACATCTTTCAGCCATCGCTTTAACATTTCATTCAAGTTGACGTTGAGATCCACGTGAATTATTGTTGAATTGGTCTTGATCAGCGAACACGAATAACCAATGTTCGTTGCGGTCTCACGCTTATCACCAGTCAACATCCAAACTTTGATTCCAGCCGCACGTAAATTTCCAATGGCCTCTGGAACTCCACATTGCAATCTATCTTCGATGCCTGTTGCTCCTGTGATTTCCATATCTGTTTCAATCAGTTTGGCAACTTTCTCAAGTTTTTCACGTCTTCCTATAACAGAATTAGATGCTTCTAGGAATAGTTCGTTCCACTTATCATACTCTTCTTTGTCGATATATCGATGTGCATATAGTAGGGTTCGAAGGCCGTCGGTCGAAAAATTTTGAACGTGCTTCTTGGTCTTTTTCAGCATCAACTTTTCATCATAAAGGTCTTCGGAATGTTCCTTGTTCACGTCAACATCTACACTCAAATATTTCCTATGGGTTGACTCTCGTGGACTTCTCAGGCGCTCTAAGATGGCTATATCTGCACCTTTGCAAAACAAACATATTCTACCGTCCGGAAGTTGATAAATCACCGACATCATTTTCCTTTCGCTCGAGAATTCCAATACATTTAAGATTTGATAGGTTCCGCTTTGAACACTGTCACCATTTGTCGTCACCGAACAATCAGGAATATTGTTGAATTTAAGTGAGACAGATCCTAACGAACGATTGGTGAAAACATATCCTAATTCTTTGGCCGCCGTCAGAAGGGCAAACTCGTCGGGTGAAGAAGATTGATAAATTATCTCACCGGTCTCCGCATCACGTTCTGCAACGCAGGTATGACACAGAGCAATGGAAAGCAGGAAAAATCGAGCCCTTCGCCCAAACGGTGTATTTGGTTGATGCCTTATTATGTTCAGCAAGTCCATAGTAGTTTTCGTTGAAAGATTTGACAAAACCTTGGACCTTGAAGAATCAATTGAATTTCTGCAACTCAGAGTCACCGGTGCGATCATCGAGAAATTGACGCTGGTCTTACGACTTCTTTTTTGTTCAATCTGTTCAATGTTGATATCGTATGATGACTTTCTGCTTTGAATTAGATTTTCATGGTGAAGATTCATGTATGGAGTGGAAGTCGATGTTAATTCTCCACTCATCATGCTAACGGATTCTGAATCATGAAGGAATGCAAACCCGCAAACACTCAACTTTCTTAGTAACATAATGTTTTCTGTCAGAGTACCAGTCTTATCTGAAAATATATGACTCACTTGACCCAATTCTTCATTGAGCGTTGATGTTCTAGCTTCGGCGGGCGTGTCAGTTTCCTTATGATACATGTTTCTATCATTGTTTATGAAGTAAACCTGGACAAGCTTTATTATCTCCATGGTGACATACAAAGAAATTGGAATCATGGTGTTGAAAATGATTACAAAGCCAAAAAATATAGCCGCCGGATTCCTCTTAAATCCTGTTATGTACCACCTGTCGACATCTTGCTTTTCCCAGGTTAACGACATTGTTGTGCACAAAATCGACAAGAGCATAACAAAACTAAAGATCATGATGATGACGCGATTTAATATTCTCTGCATACTGGGAGCCTTCGTCCTAATGTTTTTGGTTGCGTTCATACGAAGTTTGGTCTCTTCTCCAGTAAATATCACCATCCCGTAAACTTCCGGGGTATTACGCAATATCGTTCCTCTTAACAACATTTGATTTTTAGTCAATGGAAAAGCCTTACCATGCGAAAATGTTATGGACCCATCGAAATTGTACAAATCCGAATTCGGGGATTCCGCTTCAACCGTACCTTCAAACAGACATGAAGAATGATTATCCACAAAAACAATAAAGAATTAGACATGTGTGCAATATGGTATCATCACTCATACCTTGGAACGTGACGAGAGCTTCAGGAGAACTTAATAGTGAGTTTGTTTCCTCCAATGCTTGTCGTTGTTTTAAGTTTGTTTCACCATCTAAAGCTGCCGTCTCAATGTAACAAACCCCATTCTCCCCTTTAGAATGAAGTAACAACAAGTCTGCCGGAATCCATTCTTTAGTCTTGACCAACACAAAATCTCCAACTTTCAAATTTTTCCATTTCGTTTTGGTCCACACACCGCGTAACACCAAGCACTCTTGATTATTCTCAATTTGATCCTGTCTATGTCTTCTGTAATCATCATAACCCTCACGAGACATAGCTAGAAATAGGAAGCAACTCAAGGGAATTATTGTAGTAAATTGTCCCGTTGGTGACCACTCGGGTATAGCTTGTAAGATAGCAACGAATAAAAAGTATAAATTTGCGATCCTTGAAAATTGTGCGTAAAGTTGTTTTGGTAGAAACGATAAAAATGTGTAGCGAGAGGTTCTAACTGCATTATCTTTGTAATGAATATTTGCTGAATGACACGTTAATGGGTCTGAGTTAATTACAATCTTCCTATTCAAGGGCTTTTGCGTCTGTTTTCTGAATAGTGTTCGAAGTTTGCTTGTGAGGTATCGCAATTTGTCTAATATTGAAGCTTGAGGAAGTTCGTGGTGTGTGATTTGAGCCAATTCATTTTTTTCATCATCCATTGGAGGCATCTCACAGTTATCGATTTACACTCTCACTAAAGATACATTTAAAAGTTTTTATAGGTATAAACTAGATTGATTAATGATCACACGATTCGCTCGCGGATAGTGTAAATCGGAACGAAGATGCAGCTATATTACGTTATATTTATATGCCTACCCTACATGCATGGATGCATGCATATTTGGAATAAACGTGCCAAATTAGATTAACGGAGAGCGCGTAACAAATAGTAGGACAAGCGTTGGATAAAAGCACAAAGAACAAATCCGCTAGCCAAAAATGTAATGATTGCGCACCCGAACGTTAAGATATTTTGGATGTTACCTAGCACAAATTCTGTTTAACGGGCAACACGCATGTCATTCCAGGCGATCTTTGTATTGTCTGTGTCAAAAATAATCCGTTCGTCAGTTTCGATTTTCTAATGTTAGTATGATCTCAATGATCGGACGGAGTTGCAAGAGAAACTATTCATCTATAGTCTTTTGTCAATTCATTGCATAATCAATATTTGAAGGTAAAGAGTATCCATTTTTTTCATTTTACCAATGGATAACAATTTTGAAAAATAGTACACGTCAGAAATATGTAGTTATTGGATTTGCTGCCCTTCCCAATTTATCATATTAAAAATTCGCGCGTAACGTTAAACGCCGTATCACACAACAGTTATTGGAGGAGTAGATCAGGTGTTACGACAAGATTATAAATTCTTTCATCCAAAAATGTTGATTTTTTTTGAGATTGTTTCGAATGAAAGTTTATTTCACGCATATGTACTTTAAGTTACTCTTTTATAACCCTGCCGCTTTTACATTTAAAAGTTGATTTGTAATCCCCACAGAGGCATCTGATTTGTGTACCCATGCGGCATCTGCATTAATTCATTTCCTTATTACATAATACAGTGAAGGGATTTCCGAAATAATTGTTATTAGTAAAAAAATTTTTTATTAATGGTTATTGATAATTAGTATCTATATAATTACATCAGATGCCTTTACCTTATAACCTAAGCTATTTGTAATTAATATTATCTATTACTATTGTTTCTAATAATAGCTTATCTATTTACCATTCAACATATCAGTTATACGATAGATAGAATTCTATTATTAGTTTTAACCTATTTAACCTAGGATTGAATCTTGGTTACCCGTTTATGGAAAAATCATATAGGATGGTATAGTATTATAAAGATTGTTATTAAAATTATCATTGATATAATTCAATATCCCAATTTTTATTATATATGGTCACGATATTCTTGCTTGAAATTATTATTGCAATTTTATTGATTCTCTAGAAATATTGTTAAGATAACATATTATTATGTTATTATTTTAAATCATAATTTCCTTGTTAATAATAATACACTGTATATTTAAGACTTCATTATTAAAGTATCAAAGTAAACTAAATTTGCTTGGAATCAATCTCTTTTTAATGTCTTTTTAAAGTTTGCCAATTCGATTAGAATTTATTGAAATCTTTATTAAAGTTAAATCTAAAGACTACTTAATATAATAATCTTTTTTTATGTGATTTTAAATTGGCTGGATTTTTTATTAATAAAAAATCAAAGTTTGGTTTTTATATAATTCAATTAAATGCAAAAGTTTAAAATAATAAGATATAATATATTGCTAATAAATAAAAAGTAATAAAAACTAAAAAAAAAATTGAATAAAAAATATTATTAAGAATATTTGTTATTCAAAAATGATTGCATAAAAATTAATAAATAATATATTACAATAAAGCTTAGAATCTAAAAATTATAATAATATAAATTTTATATAAAAATGTTTTTAAAAATTTTTTGAAATCTTTTTTAATAATTTTTAATTTGTAAAATTTAAAAATTTTGAATTTTAATGCTTTTGTTTTTACAATATCAAAAATGAAATATAAAATTCTATAACTTTATAAATTTAAATAAAATAAATTTAAAAATTAATTGATAGTAAATATAATATTATATCTTTTTAATAAAAAAATTTTTTTATATGTTATATATACAATATATAACAAATATATAAAAAAAGTTTAATTATTTTGCTGTAATAAAATTTATTTTTATTTTTTTTGTAGATAAACATTATTTCTTTATTTAATTTATATAATATTATATATATATTATAAAAAAAACAATATCTCTTATATGTAACAATACAACTAGTTAAATACTAACTTGTTTATAATAATTACTAAACTAATATTAAAAAGAAATTTTAAAACAATATATCTTATTAAGAGCCTTAAACAACTATAATTACTTATTTAATATTGAATAAAAAGAAGTTGAAATAATTTGAAATTAGTTTAAAAATATATTTAATAAAGTTAAATTCAATTTGAATATATAAATCTGTGATTATAATTAGTAAATTTAAAATAGTTAATATTAATATGAAAAAAAAATTATTGGATTATCTGAGTTTGATTATATTCTTAATAGTTTGTTTTGTTTTATTGTTATAGTAATTATTATTTTATTTAATGTTAATAAAAAGAAAAATACTTAATATAACATAACAAAATAACAAAATTAATTTATATAGATAAATTAAAGTCTTAGTTAATACTTTAATCTAATTAAAAAAGTTAATTATGAAAAAGATATTGTTAATAATATTGTATATTAACTTTGTTAGCTATCAAATATATGAAATTGATTTATAATTACTATTAAAATAAATAATATTATTAATGATATTAATAAGTTAATTAATATTTTTTAATATTGATAGACATTTAAAAACATATTAAATGTTTTCAATATATAGATTATATCTGAAATAGTATAGATTTAAATATTGGTCTAAATATAATTTATAAAGATTTTTTTTTATAAAAAGTATTTTTAAAAGTAGCTTAATTCTAAAGATGATAAAATTATTATATTTGTTAACTTTTGAGCTTTTTATTATTTTGTTGAATTTTTAATAATTTTAAAACTATAAAGTTTATAAGTATACTTAAATGTTTTTAGAACTGAAGAGCTTTTACAAATTATATAAGTCTTAATGATACTTAAGATTTTTTTATACTATTTAATACTGCTACCTAACTGTAGATTATTATAAAGTGATGAATTGATTTATTTCAAAATATTATTAGATCTTGAATTAAACTTGAGACTAGTATATCTAATTTAATCCAGATTAATTTGTCTTATAATAGTTTATTAATTTTTAATACTATTGAAATAAAATTAATTTTTGTTATTCTTCTTGAATAGTTGAATACTTTTTAAAGAATTTTCTTATTGCTTCTTATTTTCATAATATAATTTGGTAAATATTAATATAAAATATTTATTATTATATACAAGAAATCTCTATAATAAAATATATATATATTTTTTATATAATATTATTATTTAAAAATTTTAATATTAAAAAAAAACTCTCTTTTAATTATGTTTACTTTGTTAAAAAATTTTCTTTTATGATAATTTTTATTAAGAAAAAATATTTTATACTTTTTATTACAAGTAAGCCCTAACTTAAAAACTCAAAAACTCTTAAAATAATTGGTACAATAAAATAAGACTTTTGATTAAAGTTTATTTAAGTTTGAAAGTTTTGCTTATTTTTTATTTATATGAGAAAGATCTATAAAAGTTTTTTTTTTTTGTTCTTTTGCATATCTTCCTTTATCTATTATAATAAAAAAATTTTTACATTAATACTATTTTACATGTTAAATCAAATACTTTTCAAAAAACATACTTAAACAAAATTATTAAATCTACTTTTTATTTTAATATAATCTTTATACATAACTTTATCATAACAATACTTACTATGCCATTTCAAAATTTCCAAAATTTTTTGTTTAAAAAATTGAAATCAGTTTACTCCTTTCAGATAATTGTTGCTTTTTATTTATTTAATCAAATTTTATTAAAATAACAAAGCAAAAATTAAATCTATTCAAATTGATTTTTTAACACAATAATAATAATAATAACTATTATAACAACAAATAATATCAATTATACTCTATCATTCATATTAACAAAAATTATAGTTCTAAGATCAATACTAATTCATAAGTTAAACAATTAATTACCTTTTAAATATTTTTTTGTTTATATGAATTTTATAATTTAAGTGATTTATTTTTAGTTTTAGTAATTTATATTATTTAGTTCTAGTTTGTTTTTTTTTAAAAAATTTTCTTTTACATTTTATTTTTTTTATGTTTAATTAAAAAACTCTAAATAAATAAATATAGTTACTATTTAACTATATTTAGTATATATAGTATTGTTTTAAATTTTTTTTAATATTAACTAAATATAGATATATAGGCAAGTTAGTAAAGCTTTGAAAAGTATTGAACTGATATCAAACTAGTATTGAAATGATATCAATTTATAGTAAATTTAATATATGGATTATAATCTACTTATATAATTTTATAGTAAATTTAAATATTGAATTGATATTAAAGTAGTATTAAAGTAGTATTGTTAAGAATCCTAAAAGTCAGTATTTAACTTGTTATATATTTTGTACTTTAGAGATGTTGTTTTTTCTTCATGTATATAACTCTATAGTATAATACAATAAATAAAGAAATATATTTACCTATTAGAAAAAAAAAGAATACAATATATAATATATTATACAAGTAATATAAACAGATAGATAGAAGAAACAAAATTAAAAATATAATATTTAAATTATGTTTCTCTAAAATATTTGAAATTTAAAATATTTTGAATTTTAATTTTTTTAAAATACTTAAAATATATAATATATACAGTATGTCTCATAATTTTTTGTAAATTTTATTTATTAATTACTCGATAACCGCTGAACCAAATACAATAA